TCAGTGGCGGCGGAGTCTGATGTATGCCTTGGTGTGGGGTCGATATTAAAAGTTGTTGATGGAGGATGCAGAATGAGAGGCAGAGAGAAGCAGATGGTCCAGAAAGTCAACTGGGCATGTAATTAACACGCGGTCACTGTGGAAGCTCTCTGGCTTCTTTCCTCATCTGTAAAATGGGGAAATGTAATAAAACACAGTGATTGCAAGCTTGAGATTTATCACTGTGATTAAAAGCAATTAGCAACTGGTTCCTGTCTTCTGTGCAGGCCCAGATCTCACATGGGGGTGGCTGAAGTTATTGTCTTTGGCAAGAGGGGCTAGTGGAGTGAGGGCAAGCCCCCCAGAGAAACAGCAGGCAACCTCATTTAATGAAGGAAGGTGGGTTTCCTGTCCAATCTGGCTGCACAGGGTTGACGAAATGAGAGCCAAGTAACCAGGAGATCCTGGAATCACTGATATCCACAGTATTCTCCTGCAAGTCCCTGCAAGCTGCAGAAGAAAGGCCTCCAAAGACACTGAAGTCAGATAATTGCCACCATGGGTGGCGCCAGCCAAGCCACAGCTGGGGTGAACCAGTTAGTGTGGAGCCACTAGAACCCCAGATCCTGTGAATTCCAGGCTCCTCACCGCACAGCTCCCCTAAATCATTTTATTACTCTCATCAAAAGTATCCTGCCTTTTTATGAGTGATTTTGTTTTCTGGCCTATTTCTTGCACTATGGTGGGGTTTTACCGTAATAACATCTACGTCATAGGGTATCTGTGATGATGTTATGAGTTAGTACAGGTAAGGTGCTATCAGTTCCAGTACTCGTGGCTTGTCAGTGGCAGAGCCAGGGTTCATGTCCACACTCCTAATGTGGTGCTCATCTCTCTGTCCAGTAATCTGTTCCTTTTCAAAGAGCACTCAATTTTGTGAATAATCAGTAGTCTTAATAATAGGCAATGTTTACTGGGTTTTTATAAGCCAGGCATTGAGCTAAATGCCTTACATGTGTGATCCTTCTGAATCTGCTCAACAACCCTCTGAAAGAGTGACTATTATTATGCCCATTTTAGAGATGGGAAAATGAAGCTCAGGGAAGCTTAGTAACTTGTCAAGTTTAGGGGGGTCCTGCAATTTCCCACGTGCCTCAGAAGGAAATACTTGCCAGGGTCCAGGTGGTTTTCACTCACCAGATGATCATGAAGAAAGGAACTGCGAAGGCTTCCGACGTGATGCCGTGGACCAAGGACTGCAGCGAGCTGGGAAAGGTGCTCACCGTCCTGGGGATGACCTCCCAGGTGGTGTTGAAGTTGGTGAACGGCCCACAGGCTTTCGAGGAAGGGATGCTGCCAGGACATGGACCAAGAGGCTCAGAATGAGGCGTGCAGTACAGGCGGACCGTCCCACACCCAGAACATTTTGTTAGCAATGGCCTGCAAGGAACCACCTGACCTCCTGGGCCTTCTGGAATATTCTGGTCAAAAATACTTACCTTGAAATTTCATCAGCTCTCTAAACCTAACTTCCAGTTTAGAGGAAATTCAGGATGAAAGAGCAAGTTAAATGACACTGTAAGAAAACAGACAGATCCAGAATGTGGGCATTCTATTCTCTGATCTCTTAATTTAGAAGTGAGGAAACTGGCCTGGCCTCTTCAAAGAAGCAAAGGTTAAAAGATATTGAAGAAAATACGAGAAAAAAATAAAAAAGAAAAAGAAAAAGGTTAAAAGAAACTAAATAGATATAACAAATGAAAGCAATGGGTGAAACTTGATTGTTATTTTTAAAATAAAGCTATATGAGACTATTTTGGGGTAATTGGAGAAATCTGAAAATGGCAGGAATATCTTAGTATTAATTTTCTTAGGTGTGATATGTTATTGTGGATACACATGAAGCAGAATGTTCTTATTCTTAGGAGCTTCATGCTGAAGTATTTAGGAGTGAAAGGTTATGGTGCCTACAACTTAATTTCAAATGGTGGTTATACGGAGAGAGAAAACAAATCATTGGCCCGCTGTATCTGCAGGTTCTGAGTCAGCAGATTCAACCAACCTCAGATAAAAAAAAATCTGAAAAAACAAAAAATTAAAAAAGCCAATACAACAATAAAAATACAAATAAAGTACAATACAGTCCAACAACTATTTATACAGCATTTACATTGTATTAGGTATTATAAGTAATCTAGAGATGAGTTAAAGTATACGGGAGGATGTGCATAAATGATATGCAAACACTGTGCCATTTTATATCAGGAAATTGAGCATCTGTGGATTTTGATGTGGGTGTGGGGGTGTCTTGGAACCAATTCCCCGAGAATACTGAGGGATGACTGCATAGCGAAATGCTAACAATGGGACATCCTGTTGAAGAGTATATGAGTTTCACTGTTACTACTTTTCTCAATTTTTCTGTAGATCTCAAATTTCTCAAAATAAAAAGCAGAGAAAAAAAGAAATAAAATTACAATGGAAAAACACTAAAATTAAGACCTGAATAGAATTGCCTAAATCCACATCACAAAGGTCTGTGTTTAAGATTTTCCATTGCAGGGCCAGGCACGGTGGCTCATGCCTGTAATCCTAGCTCTCTGGGAGGCCGAGGCGGGCGGATTGTTTGAGCTCAGGAGTTCGAAACCAGCCTGAGCAAGAGTGAGACCCCGTCTCTACTAAAAATAGAAAAATGAGCTGGACGTGGTGGTGTGAACCTGTAGTCCCGGCTACTCAGGAGGCTGAGGCAGGAGGATCGCTTGAACCCAGGAGTGTGAGGTTGCTGTGAGCTAGGATGACGCCACGGCACTCTAGCCCGGGCAACACAGTGAGACTCTGTCAAAAAAAAAAAAAAAAAGATTTTCCATTGCAGCCCTAGGGATAAAAATAAATTCCTAGAAATAACCTAAATGTTGTTTAAAGAAAAAGATGAACGATTTATGGTCCCTTCATATGACAGAATACTAAAGAACCACTGAGAGAGAAAGAAAAACAAAAGAGACAGATATGAGATGGCTGTCTCCCAGAAGAAAACTAAGTAGTTAGGAAATAGAATTTAAAAATGAATTTTTACCATATTTTCTTTTATACTTTTTGAATTCTGTGCCACATGAATGCATTTCTTATTTAAAAAAATCAAAGCTAAGAATATTTTTGAACGAATGAGAGTTTTATTTGTACATGGACACGGGAAAAGGTACAATATAAAATTAAGTGAAAAAATAAGTTGCCAGACACAATTATAGTATCATCCCATATGTGCTTTTAAAAAATAGATTTTTTTTCATAATAAATTTTTGGAAGTACTCATAAGAAAATGTTAATGGGCTCAAGCCTGTAATCCCAGCATTTTGGGAGGCTGAGGTAGGAGCATCACTTGAGGCCAGGAGTTCGAGGCTAGCCCTGGGCAATAGAGTAAGGCCCTGTCTTCACAAAAGAAATTTTTTTTTTAAATTAGCCGGGGGTGGTGGCCCACTCTTGTAGTTCCAACGACTTGGGAGGCTGAAGCAAGAGAATCGCTCAAGCCCCGAAGTTTGAGGTTGCAGTGAGCTATGACGACGCCACTGCACTCTAGTCCAGGTAACACAGTGATACCCTGTCTCCAAAAAAACCAAAAAACCAAAACAAAGGCAACGCTTTAAGCCCAAGTTGCAGAAGTGGACCAAGACATTCCAGCCATGAGGGACTTACTGACTTCTGCAGGTGGAACACCGTGGGAAAAGCCAATAAAACATGCAACGGACCCTTTAACACAAGAGAGGAACACGTCACAAAGCCAGGAAGTGTTCTAGAAAACAAAGTCATATTTACCGTGACATGCTGATTGTCAGAGGAATTATTGCCAAACACAGCCCAATCAGCAATACCAACAGGAAGAAGAAATTAGAATTGGACGCTCTGAACTGCCTGGGGGAGGGTCTGCAGGTGTAAAGAAGACTCAACTGAGGGAAGAAAAGGAAGGAGAAAATGCAGATCAGTGAGTGCAGCTTCCATGAGGCGAAATCAGCACATTCAGGCATTCCAGCAGGGACGCAAATTGGTCTAACCTTTCTAGAGGGTAGTCCGGCCATGCACATCAAAGTGAAAAAATGTTTCATCCAGACTCCAACTTTGGGGAATTCATGCAGATGAAACAGAGGGGAAAACGGGCCAAAACACATATGTGAGGATGTTTCCTGCCACAGTCATTGATAACAGGGAGTAAGTGGAAACAACCTAAAAAGCTCTCAGTGGGGATTCATTGGGTTAAAGTTAAAGTTTAAAATACACCAAGTGGGGCACAGTGGCTCACACCTATAATACCAGCACTTTGAGGAGGCAGGAGGATCGCTTGAGGCCAGGAATTCAAGACCAGCCTGGGCAACATAACAAGACCCTGTCTCTACAAATAATTTTTTTTAAAAATTAGCCAGGTGTGGTGGTGCACCCCTGCAGTCCCAGCTACTCGGGAGGCTGAGGCAGGGGGATCGCTTGAGCCCAGGAGTTCGAGGTTGCAGTGAGCTATGATGACATCACTACGCTGTAGCCCAAGCAACAGCGCAATAGTGTCTCAAAAAAAATTTTTTTAAATAATAAAAAAACATACTTCCACTGTGGGGAAGAAGATACGAAGGCAATATCAAGTGGGGAGGAGAAGGGAACAGTAACAACATCTAATTTCTCAATATTTTAAAAAGCTGTATTGCTGGTGGGGGCATCAAGCTCTTCTAAATTTAGCAGGAGCCAGAACATTTTGGGGGGGCAAGAGACATTGAGTACCAGGGACACTTGGTGTCCTGCTTTAGGGCAGCCGGCCAGACAGGCCTGGGGTGAGCGTCCCAAGGGAGCCTGGTGCCCCAGTGACATGTTTCATCAGCCCATGCTGTCTTTACTCTGATAAACACTGGGAGACCACAAGCTAAGCAATATTTTCTGGAAAGGGGGAAAAA